TCGGTCGGTCGGTCGGTCGGTCGGTCGGTCGCTCGGCCGATCACGGACTCACACCCCGCACACACACACACCGCACGTCGTTCGTCCCCGCGTCACACCGGCGCGGACACTCACTTTCGTTCACCAAAAAAAGCAGCCGTGAGCGTGGGCGCAACTGCGCGCTGCAGCGTAAAATTCTTTTCCTCATACGACGGAGAGAGAGAGAGAGAGAAATTAACTCAACGCATTTTTCACATCGCGAGAAGAATAATTGAACAAGCTCTCGATATATAAGTTTAATTAAGAGATCTAACGTCTCGATAACGCCCGCGGATAACTTTCGCTCCGCGAGAGACACACGCTCCCCATTCAACGTTTCGTACAAATCACGACACGTTGATAAATCAACGTTCGTTGGACGGAACAGTGTCGTATTGTGAACGCCGTACTGTATATCATTTTACCATTGCTTTTTCTCAATCTGTGTTAAAAATAAAAAAAAACAAACTCGAGTCCGCACAGTCTTTTTGCTTGTTTTTATTATTAAAAAACTGGTGGAAACTGTGTGTAAGTGGCGTTCTCGGGAACGCGATTCAGCGGAGCGATTTTCAACGGGACGAACTTCGGGGCGTATAAGAGAGGAGACGATAAGGGATCGTATAATAAATCGCTCGGATTATCGACGGTCGCGCTTATCGGTCGACTATCTCTCCGCTACTCTCCGCGAGCGACATCGAGGCCGCGTGCACAAGGACCCGGCGGGGCCCGATCAAGAGAGAAAGAGAGAGAGAGAAACGTACCTATGCGCGCGATACCAAAGACGATGCAGCGATGCTCGCTGATAGATCGCGATAGATCGCGAATTATTGTGGCTAGGAGAGCCAATCTGTGCGCGCCCCGTGGGCGCGACAGCCAGACACTCCCCTCGTAGGAAGAAGCACCCGGTGCTTCCTAGAATCGCATCGCGTCATTGTCAAAAAGATCTCCATGACGAGAACGCTGATCTTTCGTGTCTCGCGATGACGCGCTACTTGCAAACAAGTTCTCGTCACACGGACGGTAAAAGAAAAAAAAAACAAAGAGGAGAAAGGTGCGCAAGAGCGAACGAATCGTATTGTAATTTACGTCTGGGCGTGAGAGCTGCGAAAATTTGAATAAGAGAAATATGAAAAATATTTGTTATTATATTTTCATCTCAAATACGTTTAATTGAATAATATCACTAATACAAATAAATCTCGTACATTAACAATACGGTAAATTTTGATAATTTATTTGCAATTAAAATTTACACTGGCCCGCGATTCCGAACTTTTTCAATTTTTCAATTTGTGTTTATATTTATGTTTGAACGGATATAATTTTATCGTTTTTATAAAATGCGACCGAAATATTTTAAAGTCTAAAGTTTTTCAATGTTTAAAAAGTCTAAGGTTTTAAAATATCACGCTCTAGAAGTGGTACACATGTGTACCGATCAATAAGTGTAAGCGTTATGCAGCAACCGGGTATATAATGGTGTCTAACTTCTGAAATAAAAATCCGATTCCACACCGTCACGCTTTTACTTAAATTAAAAAAAATTGTTCGCTATCGCGTTATAAAATATATCAAATCAATTAATTGTAATCTGTATATTTATACGTTGACACAATGTTCAAATGCAAAAGATTACATCGGATATCAAAAAAGAAACTCTTATTCACTCAGTAAAGAAAGAGAGAAAGAGAGAAAGAGAGAGAGAGAGAGAACACACGCGAATATTTTTCGCGATATCCGATGACGGATCAGTAGTTTTCCTTAATCTTTCAAAAAAGATGAACTCATCGATTTGATCAACATTGTACCGGTCGCGAATTTTAATCGCAATTTGCATAAAATCACGATCAACAAAAGCCGCAACGAAAGCCGCGGCTTTGCGCGTTTGTTAAATGCGAGAAAAAAGTCCGTGACGCGAATCGTGTTATTTCGATCAATCTATCGAGCTAATCATTCGCAGAAGTATACGCGTTACCCGTATTCTTTTCTGCGTTTTTAATTTCATATGCTGAATATTGCCGCGAAACGCGAGATTCTTGCTTACAGAGAATTTCCAGGAAAAGAAATATCACTCTTTCCATATTTTTGCGAATGGACATAGTATATTCGACATCAACAGCAGAATTTTTTTTTCTTCTTTTAATCACGTGCGCGAACACTTTCGGCAATTGAATTAATTAAATGTGCACTAATTAGAGACTGTGATAGTAATCGCGATATTATAAAATGACGACACTCTCACACGTGTATAAAAAAAATATATATATATATCACAGAGATGTAACGCTATTGTTTGTAAACAAAAAAACAATTCTAACCGTTTGTTTGTTTGTTTTTTTTTTTTATTTGGAACAATTGTCAACGGAACTTATTTGTCCGCTGTGCGCGTATGTGCAACGTCCCACCAACTGCGGATCTTTTCGCGGACGCAAAAGCGGAGCTTTGCGTACTAAGGACGCACATACGCGTTAAAGGATGCCGGCGCGCGTGTGGAGAAACTCGCAGTTAGTATCGTCGATTTGTCGTTCCATCGCGGGACGGAGAGTCAAACCACATCGCGGCGACGAGGGAAAAGAGAGGGACTGGGGGTTAGCGGAGTTATTTTAGAGCAAAAACGGCCAACGCCGTTTCGACCCGGGAGAGAAAACATCGTTAACTCTCGCCGATCTCGAAACAACGCTCGATCCAGGAAATCTGCGATTTCTAGTCCGTTCGTTACGATGCGCGCACTTTGAGACGATCCTCTTTTGTACCGTTCCGACAAATCGCGCTCGTTTTGTTCTGATAAACATTTGTGGGGGGGAAAAAAAAATGCGTTTTAAAATCAAAAATTCTTCCAAACAAAATAAGTTGCAATCAAAAGTACATGTGTGTGTGTGTGATATCAGGGACAATATACACTTGGCTTTGATAAAACGCCGCGGAAGAACGACCGCGCTTTATTTTTCGCCGTCTAATTCGGTAATGGACGACCGAGTGACCCAGAAAACTTACGATGGCATTTTGATCAGTGCCGAGCGGGAGGCAATAACGCGCTGCTGTCGCATAATTGCGACAAAGAATTGCGACGTCGATACCTCCGCGCGGCGGTAAAGGGCTTCGTGACACATTTTGACCCAACTGGTGTCCTTGTGTTTTATTTTCCGGTTAAAGCGATGTAACACGTATATATATATATATATACGGGATCGTTACAAAGCCTTTGCACGAAGATTGACTGAGAGGTGCAACAGGTGTACTGTTCGCTCTCTCGTAAATATTCTCTCCTTCAACATCTCTTCGCGATTCACAACACCTCGCGGTTCGAACTCCTCCTCTGTTTTTTGATGACAAACTCGATCGAGGTTACTAGCGTGTCAACGCCCAATTTCTCCTCACCTCTGACAAGTTCTCGATAACCTTATCTAAAAAGATTAATAAAGAAACTTAAGGCTCACTTGAAGTAATAACTA